AAAATTATATCTTATAATTAATATAATAATATTTATTTAGTATCATAAATATTACTACTTTCTTGTATAAATTTATTTAAACTTAAATTTGTTTGATTTTTTAGAAAATGAGAATTAAAAGAGTAAGAGGTATTAGGCTGGCCGGTACAGAATCTCGGCCTAGTGGCCGTTAAAGCAGTATGGCAAGATTTGAATTTCACATCTAAAAGTTTGGCACCGTTTTCCGACAGCACACAAAGCACACACCCGCCCCCCCCGCCACGGCATGGTCACCATGGGCCGGTGGAAGAAAAGGACCAAGAGAGGGGAGGTCCAGAGGAGCCATCTCCCCCTCCAGGTTAGCCACCTTCTATTCATTTGTGATTTGCCGGCTGAATTAATTTGTTTCATTGAGAAAGTTGAAACACAGATAACTACATTATCACTATAGAAATAACAAATCAAGGGAGTGCAACAACATGTTGAAAGTCAAAATTGACCAGCGTGCATGATGGACTCCGCCATCATATTTCTATAGTTGAGACGGTCAGAAAACATACTTGGATCATCCCATTTTCCAGCTTCCTCAAATGGAAGAATGGATTGCACCATTGTGTTCCACTCCTCGAGCTGATCGAAAAATATATATGGATCGCTTCGTTTAGAGTCCGGACAAATTAATTACGATTTTTAGAAGATTTTCTACGCTAGACCCACGGTAGGAACCGGCCTGGCCAGTTTCTATGGGCCAGATTGGATCTTAAATGTGTTTTGACGTGCTTTGCCAGCGTTTTTTACGCCTTTCGAGATAAGGCCACTCTCATCTTATAAATATAAAGTGCAAGGCCGACTAAGGTGCCCAACACACACAATTGATAAAAAATCAATCTACTCCTATCTTTTTTACCCTAATCTCTCTCCCAACCTCATGTTCCTGTTTATCGCTTGGCGTCATAGGCTTTTTTTCGGGAAAATAACTTTATTAATAATCAAAGAGTATCATTACAACCCAAAGAAATAACAAACTCAGGAAAAGAACTAAAAAAGACTTAACTATGACCCGACCTAAGAGCAAAATGAGCTAACTCAACCTAGAGCAACCTGGCGAAATCCTTGCCCCGATGGGGTCTCTCCCGGGCGAGAGTTTCGACGACACCTTTGCTAGTTTGTCTGAAAACTAGCCGTTCTTCGTCACCCAAGCGTGATTATCACCCTTTGATAGTTTTCTTGTAAACCTCTCCACTCTTCACCACGTAAGTCTGATTCTCGTTGCGTTCTTCGGTCTATGACGACTAGGGCGATTTATCCCTAGCCAGTGTGTGACCGATCTTTGCGTCAACACAACACGTGTATTTTAGGGCCTTCAAACACTTGAGAATTTTAGCCTTCCAGTTCAACGATTAGAATTTTGCCGAGCAGTGGAGAAAAGCTATTCGAAGGATTGATAAATCTACTAGAAAATGCATTAACAATGCTGTGATTTTAGAGGTTTGGACTTCATGGGCGTGTTTGTTTCTCTGCGTGAGGGTGGACCTCCCATCTCGACAAGAGCCGACTGTGGAGGGGCCGGTCGAAGGGGTGCAATTAGCTTTGTTTGGTCCACTTGCATCAACGTGCCTGGGCAAACACACTGTTTGTTTGTTTGCTTGTACTTGGCGTGGCCCCTAACCTTTCTACACTCAAAGCTGCTGCCCTTTTCACAAAGTTCGATGCTGCAGCATGCAAGCCGAGCCTGGGAGGAACGACGGTGAGTTTTGTTTCTTGGGATGCGGCTTTTTCGTTGCTTTGAGGACGGTGTGAGGCCGCCCCCATGGTGCTGTCCAGAGAATCAAACGCGGTATCTGCATGGCCTTAACTTACGTCCTGTTCGCTTGGCTTATAAGCCGTGTTTTTTTAGCCAACGAATAGTATTTTTCTCTCACAACAAATCAGCCAACAGTACTTTCAGTTATAGCTTCTCAGCCAAACGAACAGGCAAACAAACACACCCTATTTGTATCAAATATCCTTTTAAGGGGTTCCTCTTCTCTCTTGGAGCCCCATCGTTTTTTCATGGAGATGATGAAATTGTGGTGTCTGGCTCGAGCTAAAAATCTTGTGGTGTTGGGTCCGTTACGCGTCTCAGATCTCCCTCCACTCCGGATCACCGGCTGGCCTCTTGTTGGCTGTTGGTTGCAACTTGCCAGCATGTAATACGCACTAGCTTCAGTATATGAAGGGAAATATTCCTTTTTTAACACAAATAAAAGGAGCTCAGGGCACTGCAAAGCAAAGGTGTCTTCCAGTCTCACGGAGCCCAGTACACATAAAGGAAAATATTCATTTTTTCAGAAGAGAAACTACGGAGGCTTCATATGCATCTCTGGATCCGAATGGCTTTTGTGTTGTTGTCATTCGCCTGACATCCTGTCCTTCCTGAAGACGAAAGCCCTGCAAAACAACTAGGAGGGAGTCGATCTCGGCAAGCGCTGCTCGCGTTAGTCTTGACCGGAGATACATTTCAAACCTTCCCCGAAAAACTTGTTGCACCGAGATGTTAGACCACAAGGCGTTAGAAAAACCAATGATCATGCCAGAAAGAGGTGGAGGAACCGTCACGAACGTCAACATAGGTGATAACTCGATAAGTTGATAAGGAAAATATTCTTTGTTCCTGGAAAATAAGCATATGGTGCAAAAGAAATTTGGAAAAAGGTGATGTGAGGTCTGTAAATGATATTCGAGAAAGAATAAACGTCCCATATTATCACGTTGTTTCTGCTGCATTTTTCTTCCTACCTTCTGAATTATCTCTTTTTCCTTGTTTGGGCAGCACTTTGGCATTAGGATAATGAAATATCTTTTCCTAATCAAGGGTGGCTCTTTTCACTGATACTGTGTTCTCCTGTTGCACTAGTCAGTTATTGGAGAGAAAACTCCAGTTGGTAAGAACAGAGCAGCACAGCAAGTGCTGCATTTTTTTTTTTGAGAAATAAGTGCTGTATTTGTTAGCACAATCGATAGGACAATATACTGGGCTTGACGTTCCTTCTGGGCCTGGGGCCTGGCGTCTGGCGTCGGTGCTCTGTTGTCGTTGCGGCCCTGTAGCTATACTTGGCCATATGGCCCGAGGCCCGTTGGCCCGGCCCACGACCCGATGTTTTGGCCCGGCCTAGGCACGGCACGGCCCGGTGGCTGGCTGGCCCGGCCCGACCCTTGGGCCATGCCTGTGCCTCACTTTCGGCACAGCGTGCCGGCCCGGCCCGACACAGCGGTCGGCATGAGGGGCCCGACCTGGCCCGTTTGGCAACTGGCGAATATAACGCGCCCATCTCCCCGGCTCTCTCCATCCCAAACCCTAATCCTTATTTCCAAAGACTCCACCGGCTGCCGCCTCGCTCGCTCGCCTAGCGCCAGAGCGGAGAAAGGGAGCGCCGTTGCCGCTCGCCTTCGATGGTCCTCGACACCCTCCCACAGCAGAGCAGCCCCTTCTCTCCCACTCACGCGTGTTCCTCCCCTCCTCCTCGCACACACGAGCCGTGGACAACACCACCTCGAGGTCCTCTGTCTCCTGTGGCTTCTCCATCTGCGCGGTGCTCCTTGTGACGTCGCTCGTGTGCACCGTGTTCCTCTTTGGCTCCTTGTCTTCACCGGCGGCGGCGGTGGATCTGGCCCCCTCCTCCTCACTAGCAGCGGATCTAGCCCCCTCCTCCTCACCAGCAGTGAATCTAGCCCCCTCCTCTACGGCGGCAGATCTGGCTCCTTGTCTGGAGGTTGCTTCCTTACTGGATCTACGACTGCGGCCATCGAAGGCGCATCGACGACTCCTCTCGCTTGTCTGCTCCGCGCATCCTTCCTGCTTCCTCCGTCTTCATCTTCATCTCCGGTCACCGCTCGCCGAATCCGGTCCCATTTTGGCCATCTATAGCCTCTTCTCTCCCCTCTGACCGTCTCTTCCCCGGCTCGCTCCCTCCACCGTCCTTCTCTTCGTCAGATCCGTCCCCCAAAACCTAGTCTCTCCATCCTCTTCTCGTAGATCTGTGGATCTCGGTCTTCAACGGCAACTTCGGTGCTCCGGTTGAGCAGGTAAGCCACTCCGATCGAGGTTGGTGCAGACGAGCCGCCGCCGGCGGCGCCGCAGTCTGAGCACGGCGCTGCTCCTGTGCCAGTCAGGCCATCGGGCCGGCACGGCACGGCACGAGGCCTTTAGGGCCGTGCTTGGGCCGTTAGTGCTGCCCGTGGGCCGGCATGGCACGGCCCGATGCACCTGACGGGCCGTGCCGAGCACTGGCCCGTGCCAGGCCGGGCGGCCCGAATGGCCATCTATACCTGTAGCTCATCATGACGTGTCGCCACTGGTGCAGGGGTGTGGCTAACCCCTTTTTTTCCTCAGGGAGCTATCTCTGTTACTAGCAGTTGTTTTCCTTTTCCAGCATTGGTGAAAGACACCCTTTCCATTCACCGACTCTGTCTCTCAGATATTATCAGCACAAAGAGAAGCTCAAAGAGTCTTTGTTCTGACAGCGGCACGCTAAAGCGACACTCTGATTAATACTGGGCTGCATTCGATTACTAAAGCACCAATTTATCTTGCTCTTCCAAGCTTCCAGCAAACGATGTACATAATATAAAGATTCATTTGCCTGAAGCAAAGAAGACTTAATTGCACAAAACACTGGGTTTTAGCACCAAGTTAGCACATAGGTATATATTCCCTTTTCTTTTTGGGCTGTGAAAGCCTTGTAATCTGTACAGTTTGTATATAATGCCTTTTCTATATATAAAAAAATATAGGTAGGGGCCTCCCCTGACGTTTTGTCAAAAAAAAAAAAGTTAGCACATAGGTTTTTTAGATAATGAGTTAGCACATAGGTCACACTTGTCGGTATTGATACAGGTGATCAGCCTTTTCATTCTGGTGTATGTACAGCAACTATAATACAAGCAAGCCCTATGTTGCTGGTACTATAATTCACATATTCTACAATTTTATGCACACTCGGTTTCCTTCTAGTTGAATTTTATAGCTCAATTTCCTGGAGTCATGATCTAGGGCATTTTGCCAATAGTGGTGCTTGCGCTGCTTCCTCATCATCTCTGTCTGAAACGACAGCTTTTGTGCCTTTGTCCTTGCTTCCTGGGTTAAGCATCCAAGCAAGACAAAAGGAGATTGCCTGTAAAAATATTTAGAATTTGAGAAAACCAATCAGTACTGATTCCAGTTGAAATTATAGCACCTCTGTATACAGCCATTTTCTATCACCCTGACACTGAGTAAGAAGACTAACCAAGAAGAAACTAGCCACAATAAAGCTGAAACCTTTGCAATCGAAGGGTGCTTCCTTTGAAATGAAGTAAGCTGAAACAGAGGAAGAGATGATGAGAGAAAAAATATAAAAACATTGTGCATGTTGCACAGAAATATATGAGAAATTTTCAATTTGATACCAGAAAGTCAATTGCTTACAGGTCAGTGGACTCATAAATAGTGGGGCCAACAATATAGCTACAGATTGCATGGTTGCAATAAAACCTTGCGCTTTTCCCTGTAAAGATAATACAATCAGACAATGGCGCCTATGGTTAGGAACTTCGGATAAAAGTTTTGAAGTTTGAACTACTAAATAAAACCAGGGGAGGTCAGGTTTGTATATGTACCTGGTCAGTTGAGAGTACTTCACCAGAAATGATCGCATATATCTGCAGAATCGCATATTTTTCATGTGAACAAATTTATGAATACCACTGGAATGTACTAAAATATAAAAGGTGTATTTTTCTGAAAATCTTCAGACACTGGCACCTTAGAGTAATTTTTTGAACTGTAAAAACTTGAAGTATAGTGCAAACAAGACAAATGTGAATATTGACTTACTGCTGGTTTGGCCAGAACATAGATGATACCCAATGAAGAGCTAAAATATGGGACCTGCAGGATATAGAAGAAGGTAAATGGACAAAGCTTTTGTAACTGTACCAAGTGGTAAATCCAGCAATATGCGATAATTTTTCTTAGAGCATCAATTAGTTGAGGTTCATTATTGAAAATATAAATCAGTTGATGACTTCAGTAAATTTGATTGGATACATACCCACGTAGCCCATGCAACACCATAAAGCAAAGCCTGGAAAAATTTTCCCCAAAATCAATATGTCAATATATCAAATTAGTGAACCTGAGACTAGTAAAAGCAGAGTACAAAATCTCTGTGCAATAACTTCTGACTTACATAAGCAATAGATGCGAGTATTGAAATACATAAGACGCCTTTTTCACCAATTATGTGGCTAAGAAAGGGGAGGACCAGAATCTACAGTATGAAAACCGTATCATAAATCCACAGATAACTAACTTGACAATTGGCAGGCCATGCAACATATATATGTTAGTTTAGTTGGTATAGAATGAAATCTTGAAAGAGCACCTGTGAAAAGATTGATCCAACGCCGACCACCATTAGAATTTCTGAGAACTGATCCTTGTCAAAGCCGAATACGGACTTTAGGTAATACTAAAAAGAAAAGATAATTAAAGTTCCATATAGTTTTTTAAACAATATATCATAAAAAACATAAGTGAGACAACCATTTACCATTAGAACATCGCTAATACCAATCATGCCCAATTTATAAAAGAAGGCAACATATGAGATTCTCCTAAGTGTTTCACTACAACATAGGAAGACAAGAGAAATCAAAAGGAATGACATTATGCAGAAGCTGAAATAAAGGCATTCTTTAATAAAAAGAAAGGAAATTGCAAACTTTTGCTAATTTCAAAACTAGTTAATGTTCATTGTATACAACTATCAAGATGTGGAAGCGGAAGAATGTTTCTTAACTCCCTTCTTGTGGGATCTACCAGTTGTATCATGTTCTGTTTAGTCCCTTCATAATTTTTTAAAACAATTGTGATAGAAAAGTGTTAATTTTGATAATCAAGAACTCATATAGCACTTTATACATTCCAAATTTATTGTCCATATTACTCCTTTTCTTCAAGAAAACAACATTTTTTAATTGTTGAATACCACTAAACTAGCAAATAGGCATGAAGCACAATGTTATTATTTAGATTGATACAAGGAAAAACATATAAGTATAATTAACATTTTCCCTCATGAACATGGAGGGGTAAAACACTAAATAGATTTTTACATGAATTTCATTATTCATCATGAATTCCTTGACTATTTAACTTTCATGCTCAATGTGCAAGGGTTACCTGTTTTTGACTATGCTAATGTTCTCCTTGATAGATTCCCAACGTTCTTGTGGTAACTTGACAAGCAAAGATGATATCGACAAATGCTGAGAAGGTGTAGAAGCTCTTTGAACTGTCTCAACCAAATATATTTTCATGTAGAGAATGGAGCAGATCAACAAGACAATTGAGACCTAATAAACCAGAGTATTTAATGTTAGCAAAGAGAAAGTAAATAAATGGAAATTGTGATGCGACTAAATAAGTAGCATTAACTACCGATACCTCAAAAATCCACCTCTCAGGCAGGAACCTTGAAAACACGCTCCCCAGCGTGTGTGCGGCAGAGAAAATTCCTGTCATGAAGCCAAATGCAGCTGCCCTCCTTGATGGTTCAACTGCATCTGCCTAATTTATCATAATATTTTTTATAACCCTTATTCACAAATCACCAAACAAATATAGCCTAATAAATTCAATTGAATTGCTATACATTTTCGGCTTGAAATTACTTAAAGCAATGCCACAATTTAAGCAGGCATATAGTCAAGAGCGCCCCTAAGGCAGATCACGTCTGCCTGAGCCACTCGAGGGCACAATTCCAGTTATACTTTTCCAAATGGCACTAACACGGTGGGCCGGCACGGGCACGGCACTAAAAAGCACGGCCCAGGCCCGGCCCGGCCCTGCCTGCTTCGTGCCCGTGCCTGGCACGGCCCGGCAGCAGTGCCGTGCCTGGGCTGCCACCTCGGCCCGCTAGCACAGCCCAGGCACGGCAGGCTAACATGCTGGCACGGCCTTGGCACGGATCCAGCAAAGGAGGGCCGTTGATCCCCTCCCCCAGATCCTTCATGACCGTTGGATCCGACCGTTGGATGGGTCGACTATATAAGCTAGCGCCCCCACGCCGCCCCGTATCGACGAAACCCTAGCTCATTTGTTTCCAGCTCCCTCTCTCTCCTGTCTCTCGCTCTAACCTCTGCGAGCGGCTCTCTCCTCTCTTCGTCTCCCTCTCCGGTGGTGTCTCCTCTCTTCTTCTCGCCCTCCGGTGGCATCTAGAGCCACTGCTGGCCGGCACGGACACACGGCACGGCCTCGTCTTGATCTCGCCCTGTTGATGTAGCCTTGTCGTCCACCTCGTCGTCTCATTCGTCACCGTCGTCGACCTCGCCGGGCCCCCGGCAACTCAAGTGCTCCGGATGTCGGTAAGTTGAGCTTTGCTCCCCTCCAGATCTAGCTCTTCCTCTCTTATCCCCTCTTGGATCTTGATCTGATGTCCTCCCCTCCTGTAGGTCCCCTCTTGATTCGCATATGTCGAGGAACCAGAGGGTCGGATCCCGCGTCGTCGACGTCGCCGGTGTTCCCGGTGCTCCGGGCGCCAAGGTACTGTAAACCCTAACCCTAACCCTAACCCTAACTAGATCTGCTACTGATTCTTTGTTTATGTGTGAAGCCGTTGAGGAACCGGGCCCCGGCGAGTGACAATGGCCCGCTCCTCCGACGAGACCGTTGAGGTCAGCGCCAACGATGAGAGGCGGATGTGCGGGCTAGCCGGAGATGACGACGAGGATGACCTGCGCGAGGACGCTGCGGAGCTGTTCGGCCGTCGCGTTGAGGATCCCATTGAAGCTGATGGCGGCAGCAATGAGGCAGCCATTGCACTAAAGCTCCAATAAAATTTTATTTTGCTCTCTCTGGTCTGTTTCTGTGTTTGTAATCTTCTGAAGTTTCTGTTAAAGTTTGAACTTGTATCTCTGCTGTCAAAGTGTGATCTTCTAAAGTTTGATGTATTGTACATGTTTCTGTTAAAATTCTGAAGTTTCTGAGGTGTTTGGCACTTTTAGTGCCAGTGCCGGCACGAGCACTACGGGCTGCCATGCCCAGTAGCACGGCATGGCACGCCTAAGCCATGATAGTGCCGTGCCTGAGCCGCTGAGTCGGCACGGCGGCACTATAAGGCACGGCACGGCTAACATGCCATGCCGCGTAGTGCCGTGCCTGGCCGTGCCCGTGCCAGTGCCGTGCCGGGCGGCCCCTTTGGCCATATATAATTCCAGTAAAGGCCCTGCCTTCGATTGGTCATTGCCATTGGGATTGGCTAGAGCCCAAGGCCTCTGGTCTAGCTCCTAGGCAGAGTAAAATTCGTTGCAAAATCCAAAAGTTATTGGCACACTTGTTAAAAAAAATGTCATGCTAATACTTTGTTACTGATAGATGGATAAAACCATAGTACTCTCCTGGACATAATTTAACATCCAGAAAAGTGCCAAATAATACGAGGATCGAGGAGCTGTTCAATCAATGAGATATATATATATATATATATGTGTGTGTGTGTGTGTGTGTGCATGTTTACCTACAAAGACGTGTACGAGGAGACTAGGATCAGTATTCTCACCGTGTAAGCAATAGCGAGGCAGAATATGGTTCCTTGGCCAATCATGCATGAGAGGGTACGCAGAACAAGGTAGACATACACAGCAGTCCTCGAATTGTTCCATGCAAGCACAGCTGCAAGCAGCATGCATGAGCAACAAACAATTATTAGTACCAAGTGCAGATGGACTACGTACAGAAATGCCCACATTGACATGTTTTCCTAGCTACTGTATTACCAAACGGGATAATGGAAGTGGAGGCAGTGAGAAGGATGAGAGGCTTCCGGCCATACTCATCAGCCAGCTGGCCCATCAGAGTGAACCCTATCGTCCTGAAAATCCCTCCAACCTGCAATCAGAAAGCAATTAACTGACGAAACAACATGCAACCACTGAATGAACAAGAACCTGATGAAGAACACACTATGAAGATTGTCCTAGAACATCAAACCGCCGGAATTAATAATGCAGACTGCTTGCAGGGACAGTGATGGATGCACACAGCTAGCTGACGAGTACTAGGAAGGAACGAAGGCATACCGAGGACTGCAGGCCGGTGAGGTAGAGAGCCTCCGGGCAAGACCTGTCGTCGGCGGGGCAGAGCGCGGCGGTGACCTTGTCGACGAGCGCCGGCACGGTCATCTCCTCGGCGACGCCGTAGAGCACCAGCCCGACCATCAGGTGCAGCACCGGCCTCATCATCACGCTCATCGTCGCATCGCCTTGTTGGAAGACACCCATTATATTTTTCCTACTCCTATATTGGGCTCACCTCCATCGATCGGTTCTTGAGTGTTGATTAGTTACAGGGCGTTTGGCGATGGACCAATTGCAGGCGCTTTATATGAAGCAGCTGCGCGCGCCTTTTTTTTAATTTCACTTGGATAGAGAAGGACAGAAGGAAACAGCACCAGGAGAAGGTGAGGTCAGCTAAACTGATTGCTACTCCTTTTTACGAGCAATGACATGTCATAGAAAGGAAGGGTGCTGCCGTGCTGGCACCTTTATATGCCACGCTGTCACGTTTAGTGTCGATACTCCATTGTGGATGATCTTTTGTTTTGTTAATTTGGCTATATTGGATGAAGGATACCTTCCCTTCTAGTCTTGGAACATATTGTTCAGGGCAAGATTTGGTCAAACATTAATTAATAGACATAAAAAAAACTTTTAAAATGTTTTAGTTTGGAGACATGCAAGAAAAATATGTAGATTTGTATTGGAAAACCTTGGCAAATACTCAATCCATCTCAAATTGTAAGACGTTTGACTTTTTTGACACTAAGTTTGACCACTCGTCTTATTCAAAAATTTGTGCAAAATATCACTTCTTTCGTCGTGGTTTGGTTTATTAATAAAAATTCTTCAAGAATGACTTAAATTTGACTATATTTGCACAAATTTTTTGAATAAGACGAGTGATCAAACTTGGGGCAAAAAAAGTCAAACGTCTTACAATTTGAGATGGAGGGAGTATCATAAAACGGAAGGTCCTTAAAAATATATTCTGGCTCAACACTTGTCAAATCGACCACTTCCAAAAAAAATATTTAGATTTGCTAAATTACCTGCACTTGTCAGAGTAAAGATATATCTATAAGTACTTATATATATGCTTCAAAATTAACCACTTCTATCATTGTAATTGATCCCAAACAAACATAGCACAATATGGGCAGGGAAAGGACTGACGAGTATTCCCTCTATGGGGCTCCAATCGAAATCAGCATCCGGCCGGCCGGCGGCGATCTCCCGTGCACAGGAGCAACCCATGCCGCCCATGACAGCGCGTGTGCCGGGAGCGGGGGAGCCCGCGCGCGGCCGCAGCCGGCGCGTGGCCGGCGCGCGCCATACCTGCCGCAGACGGAACAGGCGGGCTTCCCCTAGTGGCTCTACACGACAAACGCCTGGGACGAACGCAGCAGGTGAGTGAGATTTCCAGTCACTCAAAAGCTAAAGGGCCATTATCCAATCCAACAAGAAAGCTGCTGCTGCATTCATCGTATAAGCTTTGCGATGATGATTAGCCTGTTGAATAATCTGATCTGGGTAGCGTCTGACGCATCATATTCATCAGATGCTGCGCCTAGCTTCGCCTGAACGGCTGAACCTGACAGCGGCCGGCATACACAAGATTCAGGTAATATTACACTGTATGTTCTTGCTTGTAAGCAGGACCATCCGACCCGATCACTCGGCATGTTCGACCTCGACGTCTGGACCTGAGCAGCTGCACAGGGCAGGGGCACCCAAAAAACTCATGACAGATGGTCTTCCAAGAAAAATAAAACATGACAGATCCTAATCTGGGCCGCTCGGCGCTCGCTTTGTCACTGACACGCTGTTAGCGTGGCTGTATCTTCTGCTACTGTGCCTGGGCCGATAGCAAGCTCCACTCAAGAAATGCCGGCGCCAAGCGGCCAAGGCCCAAGAGATCCCGCAAGCCCAGCACCCGTGTCTTCGGCCCAACATGGATTAGTTGAACACTGGGTTTGGTTGGAGGAATCAAACAATTCTGGACAAGGTGATGCATCATAAATCTATTATTCAAATTTGGTGAACTAATTTAATTTTTTACACTAGTATTAATTAGGGAGTGACTACACAACTTTCAGTTGATTTTGTTTCATTAAATCAACCGGATTTTCAACCAACCAAAGACTAACACGTCACGTGTCAAGATGATTTAGAATCTGGAAGATATGAGACAATAAAACAACCAGGAATTAATCAGCCAAGCACAATAAAAAAAAGTGATTGAAAAACTAAAAATGCCAACAACCAGATCTCAAGCAATGAGTGGATCACACCCTACTACTCCACAAGATCTGATCCATTCACGTGTGAGAAAGGAAAGAGGCACCTCACGTCCTCAAGTGACACATAAAGAATCAACTTGACTGCCAAGAATAAAATGATGAGAAACAAGAAAACTAAGACAAAACTTTTAAGGATTAAGAATAGTTGAAAGTGAAACTAATTAAAAATTATACTTACCCTTACAAATGATTTAGCAGTATTCAAACCACCAAGAATTTTGTTAGCATGCTTCACAGGTGGATCTATGGGGTTATTTTGAATAACCTACAAATTTTTTAAAAAATAAACACAATATGAAGTCAAAAAAAAAAATACCAAACCATTCGAAGTGAAATCAATTTTCTCAAATACCTAACAACTAGGATAAATCCACAGAATTGAAAAAAAAACAAGGTTGAATTAGGTTGAACTGACCAATAGAAACAAAGAGAGAGAAAAAAACCTTGCCGCCAAGATCAATGCCTCCTTCACATAACTCATTGAAGTGAAACTAATAGGACATTTCAACTACATAACAGGGTTGGTGCTACCAGTAGTGGGAAGATAACAGGGTTTAGTGTGGTGGAGCAGCAGGGAGGTGACGACATCTTCGTCTTCCTCTAGTAGGATGAGAGAAGAGGAGGGAATAGAAGGAGCAGAGGGGTTGCAGCTCTTGCCTCGGAAACTACATAAGTTGGGCATTGGATCCTGAGCTAAACCTCCTCCCCACCGCCATCAAAAATGAAAATGGAAATGAATCACTAAATCTCATAACTCATTGAACTGAAATTAAAAAGAACATTTTAACTGAAAATGAAACTGAACAAATAAAATAACATGACAACAAACAACTTCTGAAACTCGACCACTGACAAAAGAACGACCAACTAATGGAATCAGATTACCAAAAACTTGCCCTAGACATAAAATAAACTACAAGTTAATGGAAACATCTGACTAAAATCTACAAGACAAATTTAAAAGATAACACAAAAGACTACACTCAAAAAACAAATGACAAAGGTACTAGATGACAAGTTATTTAACTCCATTGGAACAAAGTTTCTAAAATAACATAATTATTAAACTACTGACACTTGAAAAACATAATAATTGCGAACTGATCATAGATCAGTTGGTTGGGTTCCTCGTGGTAGAACATGTCTACCCGAATTTAAGTTCTCGACTTGGCTCGGGTGCTCGCATTTTTCTGGATTTATTTCAGCATTTAACGGCGCTATGCTTTCAGTGGCAGGCGACGTCCCCGTCGACAACGAAGTGCCTATGGTGACTTCGTGAATCTCAAGATATAGGAGATGCTCATATGGGTAGGGTTTGCGTACGTGTGTTCATATGGATGAGTGTGCGCACGTGTTACCGTGTAATTCTAAAAAAAAGAAAAAAGAAAAACACAATAACTGAAACTGAATAAAAGAACAAAAAAATAAAAAAATAAAAACATAATAACTGAAACTGAATAAAAGAACAACTTCTACAAATGAACAACCGATAAAAGAACCATATATTGAAACAAATTACTGAATTCTCATTTCATTTACAAATGCCAACGTGCTCAAGCAGTACTGTACGCACATCTTCACACTGCATGCCTGCATAGAGCTATCTTGTAGGGAAACATATCCAGTGGTATAGTTCCATGATCGTTGGTCACGAGCAGCACCGACGAGGAGGCGGCTCGGGACGAGGCGGAAAGGCAGCAGCTGCGGCGTCCGGCGAAGCTGCCCGACGTGCCACTGCTGATACACAGCCCAACAAGAAACTGAAACGGCCCAACAAGAAAGAAAACCACTGAAGATAGCACGAAACTCAACAAAATCGCAGCCGTAGAAAACTGATTGATTAAGAGACAAAACAACAATCGGTAGATGAATAGAAATCCTGTATTAATTATTACATTATGACGAATGAGTGGATGATACATTAACTTATTCTATTTCACAAACCAAATAAAAAGTGAGAAGATGATAGATAAACTCATTCCTTAGACCAAACATTATGGGTCGGAAGAATGGGCTGTCAAATATTGGGCCCATGGGCCACGGCCAGATGGAAATGGTGCCAGAACTTGCGTCTCCCGACTACCTCAGTATGATGGAGTCACGTGGTGGCCTTCCGTGCCATTAGGTGATTTTTTTTCTTTCTTTTTTTCCTTCCTTTCATTCATTTTTTCTTTCTTTTGTTCATTTGATTCTATTTCATTCTATTCCCTATTTTTTGTTTCTTTTTTATTTATTTTATTTCATGAGATGTTCATATCTTTTACTTTCATTTTTACTTCTCTTTATTTTTAATTTTACTTGAAATAATTATTTTACTATTATTTTTATGTTTAACTCTTGTTTTTTTATTTCATGAGATGCTACTACAGTACCTATCCGATGTTTTAATCGTTTATTTTGATTTGTTCACGTATTACACATATGATATTCAATGGTGTATTTTTTTATTATTCACACAACGCCCATAAGATGCTCCATGGACCATGATGTATTGTTTTTGTTCACGTAGGATACTCCATGATGTATTTTTTTTGTCCATGTATTACCTATGAGATCAATGCTATGTTCTTTTCTTTTCTATTTCCCAATATTACGTGGTTTTTTCTTTTTTCCTTTTTCTACCTTTTTCCATTTTCTTTATTTTTTCTTATCTTTCATTAATTTTTTATATTTATATTTTGTTTTTTACCTGTATTTTTGTTATATATTTCATAGCATTTTATTGAGATTTTTCTTGATGTATTCTAGAGTTTCTCCCAAGTATTCATGTCCATAAATGATGTAGTATGTATGTTGCAATGTTCATATACTATCTATAAGATGTTTATGTTATATATTAGGTTGTTCTAGTAATATTCCTATGGTGTTGTATGTTTTCTTATTATATATTAT